CCATGAAGAAGCGCTGGCAAAACAAGCGCAAAGCCGCCGGCAAGGACTACTCCAAGCCCAACATTGTCATGAACTCCGCTGTGCAGGTGTGCTGGGAGAAGGCAGCTCGCTACTTTGAAGTCGAGGAGCGCTACGTCTTCTGCACTGAGGATCGCTACGTAATTGATCCTGCGGAGGCCGTCAATCTGGTGGATGAAAATACTATTGGTATTTGTGCTATTATCGGAACTACATATACCGGAGAATACGAGGACGTCAAAGCCATCAACGACCTCCTCGTCGAGAAGAACATCGACTGCCCAATCCATGTTGATGCTGCTAGCGGAGGGTTCGTAGCGCCTTTCGTCGTGCCGAACCTACCTTGGGACTTCCGTCTGGAGAAGGTGATTTCAATCAATGTCTCTGGTCACAAGTATGGTTTGGTATGCATACTCAGTCCTCCGATTAAGTGAGATTGTTGGCTAATGGTCTTCCAGGTTTATCCCGGTGTCGGCTGGGTCGTCTGGCGCTCGCCCGAATACCTTCCTAAAGAATTGGTCTTCAACATCAACTACCTTGGCGCCGACCAAGCCTCTTTCACCCTCAACTTCTCCAAAGGCGCCTCCCAAGTTATTGGCCAGTACTACCAGATGATTCGTCTTGGCAAGCACGGTTATCGCTCCATCATGCTCAATCTTACCCGTACATCCGATTACCTTGCTTCCGCCCTCGAGAACCTCGGTTTCTTGATCATGAGCAAGAAGGGGGGTGAAGGTTTGCCGCTTGTGGCGTTTAGGCTCAACCCCAAGGACCAATACCACTTCGATGAATTCGCGGTTGCTCACCACCTGCGAGAGAGGGGCTGGGTGGTGCCTGCATACACCATGGCTCCGCACAGCGAGAAACTTAAGCTCATGAGGGTCGTTGTGCGTGAAGACTTCTCTAGGGCAAGATGTGACACGCTTATTGCAGATATCAAGTTAGCAATGGAGTCGTTGAAGCAGATGGATAAGAGCACTGTGGCACACCATACCAAGCATGTTAATAAGCACCATACCTCGAGCGGAAAATCGAACGTGAACAACGAGCACTACAAGGGTGAGAAGCATTCGCTCCAGGGCAAAACTGGAAAGACCCACGCGGTCTGCTAGAAAGACCTAAGAGAATCAGGCAGTGGTAGGACTGCAGCTGGACTACGAAGCAGGGTCATGTTGCTTTGACAAGCGATGAATTTCTCTACACTATGAAGTTCACATCCAAACGTGGAAAAAGAAAATCACGACCATGAAATTGCATACACATTTACTGTTGCGTTTGCGATCCCCTCCCCAACTCGGCGCAATATGTCCAGCTCACTGCTTGACGACTATGTACATGCAGTTGCGAAGGTGCTTTCCCACCCCCCCCCCCTACTCTCTTCCTGGTCTACTGGTCCCATCATTCATCTATTACCCTCAAAGCCGCGATTAATTCATCCACACGCTTCTGCGCTTTTCGAGCCCGCTCCATCTCTGCCAATGTTCACCTGTTGTTCCCGGTCCTATGTATCGTCCTTGATCTTGGCGAGGGCTTCTTTCGATGTCCATTGGTACTTTGCAAGCCGCTTTTGTAAAATAGCAAGCATGGCGTTAGGGCTAGGCTTTGCGGGCTGCTTCTAGATCCTCGACGAAGTGTCTGCTAATGTCCATTCCAATTGCAGAGGCTCCTTGGGCTGAACATCGGTTGCCGGCCTCCTTGATGGATCCAAATCGAAAGGGCTCGTAACATCTCCTAGGTTTTGCGGCTCCCTTCTGCTTTGCATACAACATTCCGCATTTGAATGATCCCCGGGCAGCTCCCACCTTTCCACACCTTTGGACGCGTAGTCTCGCTCTAATTTTCATATACGCACAAGATCGGGTCCACAACACTCAAGTGTTGTGAGACATGGCAATGCACACAGCAGGCTGGGTTTTCTTAATCTTCATTACTTGACCCAGACAACGAGGCTGACGATTCCCTGATGAAAGTGGCAACAGAGACGGGTTGAGAAGCTTTCCAGACGGAAGCTTCTCAAAAGCATTTGGCAAATCATCATGCAGGGCATAACGTATTCAAATTCTCGGTGGATTGTGGCATACATACGATGTGGACAGAAGGGTTGATCAAATCGATTTGTAGGAGGAAGGGGAGAAGCGAAGAATGGGGGCGTGCATATGACCAAGCCTCGGAAGTATGTATGATTCTAGATGCAGGTGTAGTGTAGGTAAGCGTACGTTTGGTGGTGGCACTCTTTTTCTTTGAGTGGGCTCATCAGCCCTATTCCGGTAGCTAGCAAGAGTCTTGGCACTGGGTCGAACAAGGCGCAAGAGGCGCAGGATGACCCCTGAGTTTCACATGTTTCGCATCCTTGCTGACCTTGCATAATATTAAAATAACTACCAGTACTCTATACTCACTCACTCACTCACTCACTCACTCACTCCTTGACAAACTTCTTTCATTCTCTGCCCACGTGCCTATTGGGCATGAGGGTCATGGTTTGACTACTCCACAACTCCTCATCACTCCACACACTACTTCGCTGGCCGACTCCACAAACCACTTCGCTGGCCGAATCTCACTCCTTATGCAAATATAATCCTCTGGGCAGGCAGGCAGGCAGGCAGGCAGGCAGGCAGGCTTAGATGTTGGAAACGTAAGCTCTAAACTTTGCCCCCTCGCTGCCACTTACCTACCTTACACTTTCCGTCAATGGCGACAACGCTAAAACATCCACTCAACAATAGGCCACTTTACTCGTAGAAAGTTGTTATCTTCCACCTCCTCCCCGGGTACCGGACCCTTCTGGATTCGTTTTCGAGGTGGCCCCTCTCCCTCCTCATCTCCACACAATGTCAGAATACATCAAATCCACTTTAGCAAACCTGCCTCAGAAAGTACACTCGTTACAGTCCCTCTCCTCTTACCGGCTCAGCCTGCTCAACATCCAGTTTCCGACAATTAACTTCCAAGGCAAGGGCAGTCTACCCACAAGGAACCCCAGGGCGTTCATCATCTTCGCCTTTCTACTTTTCCTTCTATTCTGGAAAGATATTATACGGGATGTTTGCTCGCATGTTGCGACCCGCCGCTTGCCAGTCCCAGTCGTCGAGGTCAGCTCAATAAGGAACAACACACTTGGGGTGAGTCTACTGAAAGAATATATTACTACCAGGGATGGCTAATAGCAAGACCAGTTCCAGAACATATTCGTCCTTTCTCTACCAGAACGAGGTGACCGAAGAACACCCCTCCTCGCCGCGGCAAATGCGACAAACCTCACACTCACCGTGCTCGATGCCATACGAGACAGGCAAATACCCCAATCGGATTGGCCTCAGGTATGTCACCACCATGCTGTTGCGGTTTCCTCATTGTTGATGGAGTTGTCAGTGGTGGGGAACGAACACTTGGGTGCCGAAGGACGGGGAACTAGGCTGCCTCATGTCCCATGTGAGGACGTGGAGAAAGTAAGCCGTCGCACCGAATCTGCACCTCCGTTGGGAAGTTCTGACGGTCAATGCAGGATGATACATGAAAATATCTCGACCGCCCTGATAATGGAAAGCGACGTTGATTGGGATATGCGGATCAAAGACACCATGGTTGGAGTAGGCGATGGAGTGAAAGCGATCGCTGATTGGCCATTCCCTGACCCTCAACACCCTCGAGACTTTTCCAAAGAACTAAGCCCGTACGGAGATAAATGGGATCTCATGTGGATTGGGCATTGCGGTATCAATGCCGACGGCGACGGTCGTATCTATGCGTTCAACGACTCCTCCGCAGCCGATGAAGATCATGCCTGGAATTTTGGCGAAAGGCCTGCAGAGGGGCATCGGCCTCCAGGTACACGGATCGTCTTTCAACCCCGCAAAACAGTCTGTACCACCTCCTACGCCATGAGTCTTGCGGGAGCACGCAAGTTTGAGAAGTTATTCAAGGAAGCCAACTCGCCTATCGATTTGAAACTGTGGGATCACTGTGAACACGACCCAACGACTCGGTGCGTGGGCACATGGCCGCAGGTCATCAGCATGACAGAGTCCAAAACCAACATCAAGCACTCGGGAGGTGGCCTCTCCTTTGGACACGAGGTCACAGAGGAGAAGATTGTCGCCGGCAATGCGATCCAAATATCCGCCAGGGTCAATGCACATCTAGGGTTAGCTGATAAGGGACCCACGAAATGGAAATCAGAATGGGTGACTGGGGAGAAGAAGAAGGAAGAGACGGCTGACGATTTCACCGATAAAAGCGATTAGGCTGAATTGTCTTTGATACATTCGGCGTTGGGGGGGAGCATGATACCCATCAAATGCGGGCTATAGAGGGGCGCGTTGCTGCCATTTTGGGCTTGCACTGGGCTTGCAATGTCGTCGTGCGGATATCACGATAAAAACTTTGTGGCATTGTATAGCAAGGTGTTGTAGGCATTTTGAGGTGGTCATTGGGATAGCATGGGCGTGTCCGCCAACATCTTAGACTTGTATCGATATAACGACATCATGGTTCAACATTGCACGGTAGAGCTATTGGTATGTTAGGCTTGACTAGACTTCGGATGGCTTTCCCTACAAAAGAACATTCTATGTATGGCCTGTCGGGTAGAGGAGCGGAGTAATCTTTGAAATATATCACGGCTCATCCCTAAAGCATTACTAACAACAAGGCGATACCGCACGGTCCAAAAGCGATTCTGAGAAGAGAGGATGAGAATTGCCTAGGTTTTGCATTGCCTAAAACCAGACGAACGAATCGAGACGTGCCGTACATTATTGCATATCGGTTCTTAGCTTTTCGAGGCCCCAAGAGCATCTACAGATAATGTCCTCATGATGTCAGTCATTCCTTGGATAGTGAGAAGACAATGAGGGAATTTCCTATTGTGCTGGACTATGCTCGAGCTACCCAATCTCCAGCATATTGCGCTTCAGCTTTGCGTGTCGATTGTCTGTTGTGGAAGAGCGGAGACCTCTGACTCAAACCAACACGACGGTTCAGGCTGTCAAGGCGAACTGCTTGAGGTATTCGTAGTCCTTGAAGTTTGCATTGACCGTCTGCCGGATGACCTTCGCTCCTTCCGTTCCAAACTTCTGGACCCACTCGCGGTCTTCTTCTTCATCGCTCTTTGCTTTCTTCTTCTTTCGGCCACAAGATTCAGCTATGGTCAAAAACTTAAGAGGAAAAGAACTAGAAGGATGGAGGAACAGAGATTTCCAGACCATGGGAACCTCTCTTTACTAGATGAAAAGCTGAATTACTTACGTATTTCCGCGGTTTAAGATCGCAGCTGTTCATGGCATCCTCGTGAAAGCCCTTCCATTTCTCAAAGGCATCCTTGGCTTGCTTTTGGTCCTCCTCGGAGTCCCAACTGAGCATCTGCTCGTGGTACGCGATTCCCACACTCTTACAATAAGCTGCAATGATCCCGGCTGGATTATCGAGTAGATCATCTGCATCGACAACGCAGATGTCCACTCTGTTGGCATTACCGTTCGTGCTTCCATTCACATGGATGTTCTGAGATGCAATCTCAGGGCCCACCTGACCAACACTACGCAGAAAGTCAAAGACGCGCCGAAGCTCGTCATAACCGGCCTCGGAAGGCATGAAATTGTGGAATCCAGTGACTTCATCAAGTGGTGGAACAGTGCAACGATAGTAAGAAGGAATGCTGTAGCGTGGATGGCGGATGAGGAAGGTAAAATGGAATTGGCCTAACATTTCGCTTGGAACTACCGTTGGGTTTCGAAGCTCGGGTTCAGTAGCGTACGAATTAGGAGCAAGCGGCGCAACGCTGGCCACATCATTGGAGTGAGGCTCGAACGTACCAATGCCTCGTTCCTTTCTGGCCAAAGAAGGAGCGATCGACGGTGGTGCACCATTCGGAGGGACGAGATAATGTATGATGTCCTTGATGAAGATACGCTTGCCCTATTTTAGGGTAAGTATATCATAGTCGAAATGCGTTGAACTTGGACCTAGAAGCAAGTGTGTAATTTTGCCGTCGCAACTAGGTTGGGTATCTCGAGACGAGAAAAAGGCATAGTTCAAAAAGAGGGAATGTAATCGTGTCAAATAATAAAAGGAAGCCGATCCAGAATTGTCCCTGACGAGGGACGGATCCCAAGATAGGGCAGCGAAGACAGCTGCTGAGGCATGGATGTTAAGAATAAAGGGATTGCCAAAGACTTCAAGGATTGCTGTATGAAAACACCACATCTCCTTGCAGTACTGTGCAACGAAGAAGGGTGCTGCAGAGAACGAAGCTACACTAGAAGGGGTGTTTCGGACCTCGGCACCCTCTTTCTCAATTCTGTCCAGGACTGTGCGAAAGGTCGACTGGGCAAAGCCACTGTCGAGCCTGGCCTTCTCATCATTTTCGTATCTCGAACTTAGTCTCTCCGGACCATAATAGAAGGCATCACCAAATGGTTCGTGGATGCAATGGAGGGCGTCGCGTTGAGTCATGAACACCTGCAGTAAGATGAGTTGTTGCTCCAAGACCAGTGTTTGAGGGGAAGTTCAGTTACTCTTTCGAAAGCAGTCGAGCATGAACGGGGATGAGTAGCCACGAAGATGGGTCTATTCGACATGTTCGAAGTAGACGAAGATAGGGATCACCGGTGCTGGAATTAGCAGTCGAAGGCAATGTTTACGCCGTACTGTTGCTCAATGATATGGCAGTCTGCACAATTAGTTGAGAGGCAATGTTCTTATAGACGTTAGGGATTGTAAAGAGTGTCGGTTGGTTGATCCTTTCCTATTAATACCCTAGCCGGCGTCATTACAAGAAGCTTTCCCTTGGGATGTGGAAGTGTCCAATAACGGGGATGCCATGGGTATCTTACCATGGATTAAAAGGATGCCCTGAGCCGTCCAAAGCAAAAGGAAAAACCCGAATCACGTCATTCAACGATTGGGTTCGATTTGAAAGTACCTACGACAATGTACATGTAACCAATGGGATATGGCAGCCACGGCAAGCCACTGAAGTACCTTAGGCGCTAGTCGCTAGTTTATAATACCCCTTGGTGCGCCGCAGCCGGCATTCATTACCTAAGTAATACCTCTTACCTTGAATCATTGCCTACGAGTACCTTACCTTACTCGTACCTTAATCTCATACTCGTACTGCCTAGGCGTTCAAAACCAAAACCGGTTCTAGAGCTTGAAGCTGCTTCAACTTTAGAACGTTGTGTTAGCATTATTGCTCAACTCACACGCTTCATGTCTGCCTTTCAATAACGCAGCTGTAGCCTACAAACCGTAGGCATCGTCCTCACTTCCATCTTGCCTGTCCCCACACCCTGTACTCTACTCGTATACCGTACACCATCTTCTCTCTACAGATACATACCACTTTCAATCCGACCATAATGGCAGATTACATCCTCAATTCCACAAGTCTACCCCAGGCTATCCATCCCTTTTACCCACTCGAAGCAAACATCGTGGGCTATCTAGCTAACAGATGGTCCGTACCGACTCTATTGGGCATATTCGCAGGGGGGTGGGTTGTGATACTGGGCATCACCCTCGCTTTGGTCCGGAGCCACAACCCTAATCTGCCTTCGCGGGACAAAGCGACCATACTGTGGTTTGTTCTAAGTACGTACACAAGCTTTCTACAAACTCCGCGCGCTTTTGGGGAGCAGCTTGCTGATACTCCGGTGCGCTAGCTGGGACGATCCATCTTTTCTTCGAGGGTAAGAGCAACAATACATCGTACGCGCGCCAACGCTGAGCAAAACAATAGGATACTTTGCCTTCAACCACGCGAACATGCCTGGCAAGCAGGATCTATTCGGACAATTGTGGAAGGAGTACTCCTTCTCGGATTCGAGGTACTTGACTTCTGAGTCTTTTGTCTTATGCATGGAGACGGTTACGGCGGTACGCTCCTCCATCATCCATCATGTTTCCAACTTAAAAACTAAACAAGAAACGCTGACAATGTCGGATTTAGGTCTGTTGGGGTCCCATGTCCTTCGCTGTCGCATTGCTCATCACCTATGAACATCCTCTGCGTCACCCTCTACAAGCATTAGTCTCGTTGGGCCAGATCTATGGAGATATTCTTTATTACGCTACGAGCATGTTTGATCACTACGGTAAGGGCCTGACATATTGTCGGCCAGAAGCGTATTACTTCTGGGGTTATTATTTCTTCATGAACTTCATCTGGATTGTGATACCAGGCAGTAAGTGCAAACGTCCAAACATGTGAGTTGAGAGAAACGATACTAAACACTGCTTCTGTAGTCTTGCTCTACAGCAGTATCTCTGAAAGCGCAGAGGCGTTCAAAGTGTTGGACCAGCAGACCAGAAAGGCACAGGGCAACGGCCACCTTAAGAAATCGAACTGAGGTCTGGGATATCAATGTGTCCGCCTGCAGAGCTGTGTCTTGACCAGGTCCGTGTCTCGAAGAACTTGGTCCTTCATTACCGTTGTGTTCACTACGTTCACTACATAGCTTGGCGCATCGGTGTTCTCTCCGCCGTAGAACATAGGGGTCTTAATGATATATATGCTGTTTGCTGGCGTCAAAGAGCCTCGATTGTCCTAGTAGTATACCCTGCCCAACAGAATTGAATGAGGGAGACTGGTCCTTCCAAACATCGTGGTCGTGCTGCAAGGGGCAAGTCTACGGGTGGGACTCTTAAGATTATTGCTGCAATCGCAATTATCCTAATAAAGAGCGTCTTTAGGCCACTCGCCCCTGCAAAAATCAGTTGCGGATTTGTGGGTGGCGGTAGGGCTGAAAATCGGCAATTAATTTTTGCAAAGGGGGATGGTGTGGCGTAGTGGCGCATTGTTTCCCCGGCTGTTGCTATGGAACTGGACCTGGACCAGACACTAGAATCTGAGAAATTCGAGACATCGATTTTTCATGGGAAGATAAAGTACCTAGGTCCCATGCGTAGCCCAAGACTTCGGTTGAGATCAAGCGCGCAGTCCAGCTGTCAGCCACCAACTCTAATAAACCATCACAGATGAAGCTTGCAAAAGGTCCGTAAACACAACGCGTACAACACTATCAATGCTGTTTTCTCGCTTCAGGACTACCTGAGATTTATGTGCGCGCAGACCGTGATTCCCTGAGAATGTCAATTGATTTCCATATAGCTCCAAATGTCCCTGCCTTCTTCCCCAAGCCGCTTTTCTACACGCCGCGACCATAGCATTACGCCCTCCAAAACAAAGACGACTGACGTCGGCAAACCGCTGGGAGTCTACGATAACAACTCGGTGCGAGACCGAGTTCGGCAATGGCAGGCTCAAGGAGGAGGCGTCGTTGTGGCAGATGATATCGGAGTGGAAGAGAACCAGCAACTGGAGAAACACGCTACGAAGAGCAGGACGCCCACAAAGGAGTCCAAGCCCAGAACGTCGTCACGGAGAGGGAAAGACGACCATGACTACAATACGCCAACCAGAAGCAGCAGAAGGTCTGTAAAAGCAGATGGGGAAAAGAGAGACCGTGATCGAAGTGGAAGCGCCCCAGCAAAGCGCGTGGTAAGTGATGGGCATTGGCGGAAGAAGAAAAGTCCATCAAAGACTATAGCATTATCTAAGGCCATGAAAGACACATCTCCGATATTGGCACAGCCAGACGACGATATTAGAGTGAAGCCAGCATCAGAGCTAATGACACCGGAAAAGCGGAGAGGAGAAGATAACAGTATAACACCCAAGGGTGAAGGTTCTGGCGGCGACGATGGCATCAGGGTTTACGTCACACCACCTAGATCGCAGAGGCAGTCGGGACAGCATCATCGACGGCAAAGTGAGCGCTCGGGGAGCGAAAAGGGGATCGGGCATGACATTGAAGCCCCGAAAGCTAGTCCTACTCCTGGATCAACGGGACGAAGAAAACGTCCCACGCCGGAAGCGTCACTACGAATCAGCTCTTCCGGGGCGAAAGAGGACTCTGGGAGACACAGGTCGGAAAGTCAGAAAGCAGAAGATCTAGACGAGTCTCCTCGGTCTACAGGAGGTGCAATGTCTGACAGCAGACGCAGCGTCCGAACGCAGAAAAGCAATCTCTTGAGCCAAGTTTTTGGTGACTCTCGTAAACTCTTCGTAAAGCAGGTACCGGAGCCAACAGCTACCCCGAGGGTTCCAAGCATTGAAGCCTGGTTGAACGAAACTCCAGATCCTTTCCTTGACGCAGACGAGCCTCCTCTTGAGGCTATCCCACCTCTAAATTCATCAACCAAGAAGAGAAAAGTGGCATTACAAGAGAAAGTGAGAGAAGATTGCACCAGGATATCGGAAGCCCTGGACACAAAGGAAGGCACGAGACGAGCCGTCCACGGAAGCAGGAGAAGGAACAGGATTCCAAGTTCAGCTATCTACGAAGATAATCCTTTTCCAGCCGGCTTTGACTCTGATTCTGCGCTATCGGGCTCGGGCAAAGGAACGACATCTGCGTCAAAATTTGTGGACCTTGTCCAAGAGGCAGCAGAGACGTCCCCGTCGTCACTCAAAAGGCGCTCCGCGAGAAAAAGTGTATCTTCACCAGTTCGTGACCGACGAAAATCGTTCAATCCAAAAGAGCCTAGCAAAGAAGACGATGCCGAGTCGGTGCTGTCATCGAGTCATACTGTATCCTCTGTGGAAGGACCGGACCCCAACAATCCTCTCAAACCTCCTGGACTCAACTCCAAGCGCCCTTTTCCTTCTACGGGAAAGCATCGTCTTTCTACCATTGCCTCTGTTGAGACTTTCAATACAAGTCAGGGTGCTGCACCGCCTTCCGTGTCTGAGATTTCTAGATATACAGCTCGTCCGCCTCCTATCGAGGAAGACGCAGCTGTCGACGAGGCAAGGGACCATTTTGATCTGAACTCAATGAAGCGAAAGAACAGTCGCCTCACCAAACATGCTGATCTCATATCTGTCTTGTCATTACCAAAGGCAGGAAACAGAAGCATCCAATCAGCTCGAAGCATCCGCACGAATCGGAGTCGACTTGCCACCGCAACTATGGGGGACTTAATGCAAGAGTTGGCTACCGATGAGAGCAAGTATATGCGTGAGCTGCGCACTTTGGTCGATGGCGTGATTCCCGTCTTGTTAACCTGTGTTTTGTCAAAATCAGATTCTGCTGTTGCAGCTGGCCTCTTTAGTGCCTCGGCCCATACTCACGAGGACCCAAACTTCACGAGGCCTATTATAGACATGGGTATCGCGCTCGAGCGCTTGAAAACGTTACACAAACGCATACCACAGGAAGACCCTGTAGCTTTACTCACATGGGCACATGGAGCTCAGAGAGTCTACGCAGAGTACTTGAAGGCTTGGCGCATGGGCTTCCAGGATGTGGTGGTCAACCTCGCCCCTGCTTTGGAGGGCACCTCCGTAGTGTCCGGCTCACCAAATGTGAAGTCCATGGGACTCGATGAAGGCTTGCCAAGAAATGAAGAAGGAGATGTGGTCAACGGAGATGGCGAAAGAGTTGATGTTGCTTTCCTTCTGAAGCGACCACTGGTCAGGCTCAAGTACCTGGCAAAGACATTGAAGGGTATAAACTTTATCAAGTCTTCGGCAGAAGCTGAATTGCTCGCTACGAAATATCAGAAGCTTGTAGACGACGCTAGGCAGCGCTCAAACGAAGAACGTGCGCGGCTGGAAGATGAGGCGGCTTCTAACATTGATCCCACCCGGGCTCGAGACCCAAGGACTCTTGCCCCATTGACTGGTGTTGCCATTGATAGAACATGTCGTGTTCGAGCTAGAGACCATTTCAACCTCGCTCTTCAGCATTCAAGTGGGCAACGTGTGGACTGTCGCGTCGAGCTCATCATTCGTGACGAGGCTTCTGATGGTGACGGTAGTAGGGATTTACTCATCTGTGAGGTCGACGCAACAGGCCGCTGGCTACTGTTCCCGCCCGTCCATCTCGGTACTGTATCGGCTCGGAATGGAGACCTAAAGGGCGAAATAGTTATCATGATTAGAGGAGCCGGTGCTAATAGGTTAGAGTGGCAGGAGCTGTTCTCGCTGAGATCTGAAGACGAACAAGCAGGCTTTGAGTGGGTCCAAATGCTCGGTTTAACACCCATACCTCCAAGGATCATGAGATCTCAGAGTTTTCTTGGCCGACATCAGCGGATGAAGTCCGAATCAGGCCCTGAGCCTCCTATCACCTCCAGCGCGCCGAGTAAGAGCAGGACGCCGAGTCCAAGAGAAGTCGAGATCCCCATCGGTGAACAAGGAAATAACGGTTCCAAGACTTGGACAGAGCCACTGCCTTCTGGAATGCCCGGCTCACATGGCACCCCGTCTTCAAGAGAAATAGCCATGTTACATAACCAGTCCCACAGCATTCCTCCAAACACTCCATCAAGATCATCCAACAACTATGTGGACCAGGTCAACGATCTTCGTTCACTTCCTAGTCAAAGCCGAAACCGTGACACCACAGCCTCTGAGCCGACTCGTACACCGCGAAGCTTCAAGGAAGCGCTGGGCTTAAGCGGTACTAGCACCTCTGTTGGACTCAAACGCGCCAGAGCTAAGAGGCTATCGAGGCATGGTAAGAGCTCACCATCCAGTCCGAAGTCGATGGATGCGCCCCGCAGTCGTAGCGAGTCTCAAACACCATCTTCAGATGTCTTTACTGCTCAAAACCCAATAGTGGATTCACAGAACAAATACTCCAACATACGTTCTTTGTCGCCAGAGCTGGGTGAAGAACATGCAGGCCTCAGCCCCGAGTCAGGTAATAATCAACAGAAGGAAAATACTCGGCCGTCTTATCATCGATCACGATCATCAGTACCCTCGATGGAACTTCCGTTCATTCCGAAAGCACGGAACAACAGCCCGCCCACAACACCCATAGCCGAACCGGAAGAGGAGCCGCAATGGCCTACACCTTCTGCCTCAGTGGAGCCAGTGTCTCCTTCCAGATTGGGCAAGAAGCGTCCTGTATCTTCAAAGGTCGACGTCCCGCAAGATTTCTCTTCATCACCAGTGTCCGGTCACCATTCGCCAAAGCTGAACGAAGCAAAGACTCCGGTCCTTGGAAAGAGTCATTTCAAGCCGAGACGGTCCTCGTCACCCTTGAAGCATGAATACGAGCCATCAACGGCATCCGAAAGTTCTTCTGAGTCGCAGACTTCTACCGTCGAGCACAATGAAGCAACGTCGGTGTCCGACTCGTCTGAAGACGAAGAGTTGGAGGAAGGCGATGCTCCGACCCCCTTGATGCCTCTTGGGGCTTTGAAGAGTCTCTCACGTCCAAAGGTCGCTCCCAGGACATCCGTGCATTCAACCCCAGATGGTACTATCAAACCCTCGGAATCAGCCTCTCAAGCTCCCTACAAGACGGTACCGGCTCAACCGTCAAAGGCTTCAAAGACCATCGCCTCAATCTTTTCGTGGTCGGACACAGGCTCCTGGCAAAGTCTACACCCCGATGAATGCAGCATTGTGATCACGCCTGGCCTGATCGAGGCCTACGAGATGTCTGCTGCTCACTCAAAAGATGTGCCACTTTCTTCTTCCACCCCTGTTGTCGACATGGATGCTTTTTCGGACCTCGCATCTAATTTGACGAGTCAGAATGACGAAGTCCAGGGAGACCGTCCTCTGGTCGGCCTGGAGCTGACTCCTCTGGTTCCACTTCGCCGTGGTACTGCCCTTGATATTTCTATCCGCTCGCCTCCAACGCCCAATGCCCAGATCACTTCAGGCAACAACATCATGTTTCGCTCTCGCAATCCAGAAGAGTGTGAAGCACTTTACGCATTGATCAATCACTCACGCATCAACAATCCCACATTCATTGCCCTTCAAAATGCAAGGGGTCCCTACGGTTCCGGCAACCCGCTTTCGAATCGACGAGCTAGCATCATTGTCGGCGGTTCGAGGTCCAGCTGGTTTGGTGGATGGGGTCGCTCTTCGAGCTACCGTGCTAGCAGCGCCCCAACACCTAGCATTGCACCCAGCGACAGCAGCGTAGGTAGCATGTCGAGCGCTTTTTCCGCCCTCAAGCGCTTCGGCAGGGGCAGTGGCATGTTCAACATCTCACGCAGTACCATTACTTCTCGCGAAGGCAGTATCTATACGAGCTCTGACAATTCCAGTGGTAGTGGTACCAGCTCGCCTATCCCTCCAGGGATGATCACTGCTGGTAAGGATGCGCCCATTGGCCTCAGCAACGCTAAAATTCGCCTTTATATTCGCGAGACTGCATCCAAGTGGCGTGACATGGGCTCTGCACGCTTGACGATCATGAGGCCCGACAGAAGCAACGTGGGACCTGAGGGCAGACCACTGAGTAGTGCGCACCAAGGTCTTAACGAGAAGAGGATCTTAGTGCACGGGAAGACGAAAGGAGAGGTGTTGCTGGATGTACAGTTAGGAGAGAGCTGTTTTGAGAGGGTGGCAAGGACCGGTATTGCGTTGAGCGTATGGGAGGATGTGATCGGGCCGAATGGAGAGGTCGGCGTGGTAGGCGCTGTTGGTGGGGTGGGAGGTGGCAGGGCCACGGTCTATATGATACAGGTATGTGAAACTTCTCCAGTCAAAAAGATCTGTCGAAGACTTCGTGCTGACTTTCTCACAAGATGAAAAGTGAAGCCGAGACGGCGTACACGTTCTCTATTGTTGGGAAATTACGGTATTAAGATGTCGTTTGTTATGGCTGTACTTATACATGAATCAACCATCGGATGTATATCAGAGTAGGGGCTGGCGCAACGTATTCGGCGGAAATCCTCAATCTTCTTCATGTGTCTTCTGAAGTATACACTTGGGCCGGGTGTATACGACCGCCTGGTGGCTAGACTCTGTTTATACTAGATGGAAGCGCGGAGCGATATAAGGCAAACAGAGATGGCTTCTTGAAGCATGGCTGCCATGACGCTTCCGAACAACAGTAAAAGTTCGCTTTTCTACATAGATCAGGTAATGGGCACGAGCAATACGAGCAAGACCTCCTTATAGTTGAACCACAAAGCGTCTTGAGAAGCCGGGGCTGCGAAGAGCATGGTGATGGGTTGTTGGGCATTTACTGGTAAGATTCGGTTGGTCAGGGAAACAGCGCGTGTGACTTGCCACGAAAGGAGATATATACACACCATTGAGTAGCTATCTATTGCTAAGGTAGAGTTGCAGGGTACAGGCAAGCAGTCCACCAAAGTGACAGCCTGAGCAATCGAAACCCTCTTCTATTTCCACGTCAGATCTGGGTAGTTATCAACGCGGAATAGAGTGTCGTCCGTGATCAGATAGATGGTTTCAGAAAGGAGGTGACACACCACGAGCGCAAGGAACTCTTCGTGCATGTTGGAAGGGAATTTTGAAGATATGTACCCTTTCGACTGCCTTTTTTGTGCTATTTCTTTGGCAGCTACGAGTAGTTTCGTTAACTAAGGTACGTACCAATAGCATACTTAGGTATTATCGAACCGGTTTATGTCCGCATCACCAATGAGAGCCAGGGCCTAGGGTTATTCCTAAGCGAGGTAGTGGAGAAGCTTGCTCGCTTGGTAGCGGTGTTAAGCCCTGCTTTACCTTATCCCCGTTCTGGTCAGGCCTAGACCTCGAGCTCAGACAGCCCCTGTCACCAAAAATGTCCCGAGCCTTGGAAGTGCGTGCATGCAAGCAAGCAAGTACTTTAAAGTACGAGTAGAGTACCGGTATGATGACGTACCGTAGTCCAGTATGCTACATTTTCGGTGACAGTCAGCGCATTCCGCCACGTGTCAACCAACGGTGTGGAACGGTGTGGCTGCGGTCAATTACCTTTACGGTATTTACCTTGCCCTTTCACACACGTTTCTTATATGTCTTTCATTACATGTACGTTTAGACTCTTCGGTAGTCTTCAGCACAAAATAATGAGTACCTTATGTATTATTAGTTATTTCTTTACTTTAAATATGAAGGGGCTGGACCGCTGGATGAACTAAAATCCGGTAGTTTGATGAGCGAGGACTGCTTGCCGTGCCGTGTCGAACCAATCAGGAAATGCTCCAGCCCTGTCATCTCAGATTTGGGCTAGATTTGGGCTAGATTTGACCATGTTTCGGGGGATAAATGTCCTGGAACCTGGAAGAGAGGATGGTGGAGGCTTGGAGCGGATTCAGATCCGAGGGATCCATGCCTGAAGGCTGAAGCAAGCTTTTATGGCGTTTTTGGTGAAATGGCTTTGTAAATTAAATCTGTTGCCATGACCCGCCCACACCTACTTTACGCCTCAAGCCTTCGCTGAGGTGACGCACCACGCAAGAATGACCCTTTCATCTAGCCCTCAACATCTTTTTCTTTGCTCCAAAATACCTCACCCCTTCTTCACACCCACCTCCTCTCCCTCCATTCGAGCATTTGCCTCCCTTTCTTCTGACTGACTTCCATCCTTTCTTCATTGACCATACCTCTTGATGCAGAACCCTCTTCGTCGCCCAAAGGGCGATCCTCCGCCCCCAAGAGACCGGGACGTGGAGCGTAATAAGCAGGATAACGGTGCATACCTAGGCAAGGATGTGAGAGGACATTTGGTCGCCATGTCGGGGGAATTCGTCGGCACCTTCATGTTCCTCTACTTTGCCTTCGCTGCCACTCAAATTGCCAGTCCGTCAAATATCAAGCCCATACTTCCTCCCTGTCCAAAAATTCTTGGGCCCTGAGATCCGTCTGTTAATCTGCGGGAATCTTGAACGAGGCCATTGAACGGGAAAGACTGACAAGAGATCCTCAACTAGACACGATAGACCCCAACGGATCTCGCACGGTCGACCAGCTTCTTTTCATCAGCCTGGGCTTTGGCTTCTCCCTCGCTGTCACTGCCTGGGTTTTCTACAGAATCAGCGGCGGACTATTCAATCCCGCAGTGACGCTCGGTATGGTGTAAGATACTTCTCCAGCCCTTTATTTCCCTACAGTCTCCCATCTCGAGAAGAGAATGCTAAGCTGTAGAACAACTAGCATTACAGGGACTCTCCCAGCGCTTCGCGGTGCGCTCCTTTTCCCCGCTCAGATGCTTGGAGGGATAGTGGTGAGTAGCGAGGCCCGTTTTCCGATCGAAACAACCAACGACGCGGCTGGACTTATATTGCAAACCGTATTCATATCCCTAAGACGTCATGCTGATTTAGAAACGTGCAGGCAGCGGCCCTTGTCCGGTGCATGTTTCCCGGTACACCTGCATTCACTACAACTTTGACCAACGGAACGTCCATCGCCCAGGGAGTCTTCATCGAGATGTTTTTGACAGCAGAACTTGTCTTCACGGTGTTGATGTTGGCTGCCGAGAAGAGCAAAGCAACTTTCATTGCTCCAGGTAGGTGCTCTTCAAGGAGCTCATTCCATTCTACACCCTTCTGGTGCCCTGTACCTCCAATCTGCCCAGAAAGGCACCGCTGATCCTGAGTATTCTATTAGTGGGCATCGGGCTTGCCTTGTTTGTGGCGGAACTTGCAGGTATGCTCATCAATAGAACAGGACCGAATTCGTGAACAACGATTGACGCACATGGCAGGTGTATACTTTACCGGAGGCTCTCTTAATCCTACCCGGTCATTCGGTCCGTGTGTTGCCACTGCGGAATTCCCAGGTTACCATTGGATATACTGGGTTGGGCCGTTTTTGGGTGCTCTGATCTCTGGCGGATACTACAGATTTGTCAAGTTCAACAATTATGAGGAGGCAAATCCTGGGCAGGACGATTCACATCATCCGCAAGACAACCCGGAAGGCAAAGATGAGTAGGCTGGAGCCACCGTGGAATTTTGGTCGACGTTTGAGTTGCCAATCTGGCATGATTTCTCTGGAATGGAGTTACATACGATATTTCACACATGTTCACTTTTAGTCATATAATTTGATTCTGGCGTGTCGTTTGCCCTCATATCTGGCTTCATATCTGAGCCTACATCTGCATCTGACAGGCGTCTGTTGCTCAGCGGGTGCGCTTTGAAGGAAAAGCTGTTCGGACGGCCCGCTTGGAAAAGGGGCATATATATTCAGAAATAGATCAGACGTTGGGAGACTGGGAGACTCATTGAATCTACAGTCGTCGTGTCTTGCTGCGAATTGTGGCATGCGCGCTACCAAGAGGGGTGGCTTTATGATGGTACCAAACCGCTTAAGCTTGACAAGCTTCTGTGCTCATGGAATATCTTACTGAGCGACTCCTACCCAAATTTGGGTATGCAAGATGTAGAGCACTTACTACTGCCAATTCTTCCAACAGCTTGACTGGCGGAAGAGCTTTGCAGAAACATTACACGGTACCTAGCCGGTGGAGCGTGAGGGGCTAATAACAGTATATTGGATGTGTAACTGGACGCTATGGATCTGGGGTTTCACGCCGATTGAAAAACTACAGGTGATAAATCCAGATTTAATTAGATTCTAGAAACATATAAAGAATTTTGACCGTAATTTCGTGGAAATATATAAAAGCATCCGCACAGGAACCGTAAATCTAGTACTTTATACACCATGCGTCTCTACTTTAGGGAGGGCTGATCATGTGACTTCGCATTAGGGCATAACGCGTCCGCGTTTCACTCCGAACTTGTGTCTTTTCCACATCACTACATGGACGTGACGCAGAGTCATGACCAAAGCCTCTACAATGGTCGGAAAACCATTCCGAATCCCATTGCTCAGAAAGACCGAGGAGTCTGGTGACAATGACGGAGGCTCCGAGCCCCAAGCAAAAAAGAGGCGGATCAGCAGCGACAAAGGGGACGGGGTAAAGACGATGGGGCCTCAATTGGTTTTCAAAACCCCTGGAATATCTTCAGTTCCACGCAAGCCACTTTTAGCAGTCAAAAACCCCGCAGTAGCCACAGAGTCACTCGACGGAGGGTCCGAGGTATACTACAATGTTCTTTGGTACGTACTTCTTCATGATGAACTCACTGATCGCTAACGGCGTTCTCCGTACAGGCGGAAGTATACGACCAAGAAGCACAAGACCTGGGATGGTGATGGGGTGCTAAAAGTCACTGGCGGGCATGCCCATCTCCAGGACACTTCAGGACGTGATATGGGAAAAGCATCTTGCGATTGGCCTCTGCTTCCTGGCTCCCAGCTATCGATAGGGGGAAAGGAGGTAGAAGTCGATTCCATCCTCTCAAAAGAGGATTCCTTGGCCGGTCGACCATTCCTGAAGTCAAGCATCTTGAAGTTTACACCAGAGTTTGTACAAGTACCCCTACCAAACCCAAAGCCGAGGCCAGACTCGAAGGCGGCTCTCCTACAGCAGAGCGAGGAAACGAAGAAGCCACTCAATCTGGCTGCGCCGAGAAGTGTAGCTACCCAAGCAATGTTCAAGAATCCATTACTAGCAAGCACTGTAATGCCTAAGCAGGAACCCAACGAGCCAACACCGCGCCATGATCCAACCGCCGCACAAGCAATAGTCATGAAGCGTCCCAAAACCGTGCCGAAAGGAAAACAGGTCGTGGATGTTGTGGTCGATCCACTTCTTGCGAAACACCTACGGGAACATCAACGTGAAGGAGTCAAATTCATGTACGAGTGTGTGATGGGCATGCGTGACTTTGATGGCCAAGGTGCAATCCTAGCAGACGAGATGGGCTTAGGCAAAAGTCTGTCGACTATCGCGTTGTTATGGACGTTGCTGAAGCAGAACCCTATCTGCGACGGTTCG